TTTCTTTTTTCAGTGTATTATAATTTTCCCTCTATAGGTCTTTCACTTCTTTCATGAGAGTAATTCCTAAATATTTAATTTTTTTGGTTGCTAGTGTGAAAGGTGTGGCTTCTCTTATTTCTCTCTGCGATTTTGTTGCTAGTGTATAGAAATGCTATTGATTTTTGAGTATTGATTTTGTATCCAGTTACATTACTGAACTTACTTATTATATCTAAGAGTCTTTCAATGGAGTTTTGGGGTCTTCTACGTAGAGTATCATGTCATCTGCAAACAATGATAATTTAACTTCTTCTTTTCCTATCTTTACCACTTTTATTTCTCTCTCTTGTCTAATTGCCCTGGCTAGTATTTCCAGTACTATATTAAATAGGAGTGGTGATAGAGGACATCCTTGCCTTATGCCTGATTTTAAAGTAAAGGCCTTCAATTTTTGGCAATTTAGTATGATATTGGCTGTTGGTTTGTCGTAGATGGCCTTTATTATATTGAGGTAAAGACCATCTATTCCAACTTTCTGTAAAGTTCTTATCATGAATGAATGTTGGACCTTATCAAAAGCTTTGTCTATATCTATAGAAATGATCAAGTGATTCTTACTTTTGGTCTTATTGATATGGTGGATTACATTTATTGATTTACATATGTTGAACCATCCCTGCATGCCTGGGAAGAATCCCACTCGGTCATGGTGTATAATCTTCTTGATGATTTGCTGCATCCTATTTGTCAATATTTTATTGAGAATTTTTGCATCTGTGTTCATTAGGGAGATTGATCTATAGTTCTCTTTTTTAGTTGGGTCTTCCTCAGGTTTTGGTACTAGAGTAATATTTGCTTCCAGGAATGACTTAGGAAGGATTGCTGCCCTTTCAATTTTATTGAATAGTTTGAGGAGTGTCGGCATTAGGTCATTTTTGTATTTCTTATAGAATTCTGCAGTGAATCCGTCTGGGCCTGGGCTCTTCTTTGTAGGTAAGGACTTAATTACATTTTCAATTTCATTAATAGAAATTGGGTTATTCAACAGTTTTACATCCTTTTGATCTAGCTTTGGTACTTCATATATTTCTAGGAATCTGTCTATTTCTTCTGTGTTATCAAACCTTTGAGAGCAGAGGTTTTTGAAATAGATGTTGATGATCTTCTGTATTCCTATAGAGTCTGTAGTGATTTCACCTTTTTCATTCCTTAGTGCATGAATTTGAGCTTTTTCTTCCCTTTTTAAAATAAGGTTGGCTAGGGGCTCAGTTTTATTTATTCTTTCAAAGAACCAACTGTTTGATTCATTGATTCTTTGGATTGTTTTCTTAGTCTCTATTGCATTGATTTCTGCTCTGATTTTTATAATTTGCTCTCTTCTTTTGGCTTTGCACTTGACTTGCTCTTCTTTTTCTAGATGTTTGAGGTGTAACATCAGTTATTTATTTGTATTTGTTCTGTTTTCCTAATGTGGGAACTCAGTGCAATAAATTTTCCTCTGAGGACGGCTTTCATTGCATCCCACAGATTCTGGTAAGTTGTATTTGTATTTTCGTTTGCTTGTAGGTATTGTTTAATTTCTTCTTTAATTTCCTCTGTGACCCACTGATTACTCAAGAGTGTGTTATTCGGTTTACATGTGTTTGTGGGATTTTTTCTGAATCTTTTATCATTAATTTCTAATTTCAAAGCACTATGATCCGATAACATGCAAGTGATAATTTCAACTCTTACACATTTATTTAAATATGTTCTGTGAGCTAATATATTGTCTATTTTAGAGAATGACCCATGTACTGCTGAAAAGAATGTGTATTCTGGTGTTATTGGATGGAACACTCTGTATATGTCTATCAAGTCCATTTGTTCACATGTGTGATTCATTTCCATTGTTTCTTTGCTGATTTTCTGTCTGGTTGATCTGTCCCTTGGTGTCAATGGTGTGTTAAGGTCTCCTGTTACAATTGTGTTACTGATAATTTGATTTTTCATTTCTGTTAATACTTGTTTTATATAACTGGGTGCTCTGGAATGTGGTGGATATATATTTAAGATAGTTATCTCTTCCTTTTGAAGTTTTCCCCTAACAAGTATGTAGTGACCTTCTTTATCTCTTCTGATCATTATGGGTTTAAAGTTCACATTGTCTGCAAACAGAAAGGCTACTTGTGCTTTTTGGGGGGGTTCCTTTTGTGTGAAGTATTGTTTTCCATCCTTTGACTTTCAGTCTGTGAGTATCCTTTTGGGTTAGATGGGTTTCTTGTAGACAGCATATGGTTGGGTGTTGTTTCTTGATCTATTCTGCCAGTCTGTTTCTTTTAATTGGTGAATTGAGACCATTTACATTAATGGTTATAACTATTATATGTTGGTTTATCATTGACATGTTATCTTTCTGCTGTTGAATCTTTATCTTTCCATTCTGTTTAATTGTCTGCTTTGCTTAGTGTTTTTTTCCTAAGTGTATCTAAACTGTCTTTCAATATTTTTTGCAGGGTTGGCTTGGTGATCATGACAAAGGATCATGAAGATCCTTTGTCATGGAAGTATTTTATTTCACCATCCATTTTGAAGAAAGGTTTTTCAGGGTACATCAGTCTAGGTTGGAAATCATTTTCCTTTAGGATCTGGAATACTTCACTCTATGCTCTTCTTGACTTTATTGTTTGTGCTGAGAAGTCTGCTGTGATTCTGATAGGTTTTCCTTTATAGGTGATCTGTCTTTTCTCTCTGACAGCTTTTAATATTCTATTCTTATGTTGGATTTCTGGGATGGTGATTATTATATGTCTGGGTGTAGTTTTATTTTGGTTTATGACTATTTGGATTTCTGTATGCCTCACTGATCCTGATGTCGGTTTCTGATCTCATGTTTGGGAAATTTTCAGCTATTACTTCTCTAAATATCCTCTTGACATCCTTTATGTTGTCCCCTTCTTTTTTCACTAATCTCTAGGAATCTTATATTGTTTTTCTTTGCATCATCTTGCAACTGCAAGATGAATTATTTCCTGATTCCTTGTTATTTTTAAACGATCTTTCCTTTTCTGTTCACTAGCTGCAATCTTGTCTTCAAGGTCTGAAATTCTATCTTCACTTTCTTTGAGGTGGTTTTCATAGCTTTCAGTGGAATTTTTGATTTCCTGTATATCTCTGTGCATCTGCTTTATGTATTCTGTTTGTTTCTTATATTGCTTATCCAGGGATTCTATCTTCTTGTTTAGTTCCTCCAATTTTTTAACTGTGTCTTCTTTAGATATATTCAGCATCTCTTTCATTTCTTTTATCATTTCTTCTTTTACCTGGGAGATTATTTCTAGTTTGAATTCCTTTAAAGCTTCCCAGAGTTACTTGTTTATTTCAGTTGTTATTATGTCCGATATTTTAGGTGTATGGCATATATTTTTTTCTATGTACATCGCTCCTAAGATTTCTTTGGATGGGCTGGAAGTTTGAGATTGTAATTTGGTCTTTCATTTTGTCGTTTTCATATATTTCTCTGTTTCAAGTGTTATTCTAAGGCTTTCCCAGGGTCTGTTGGAAATCCTCTTCTATGCCCTCAGCTCCTGGGACTCTGGTACCCAGTTCCCCTGGTTGATATAGGGTCACTGGGGATGGAGCAGGCTGGCTCAAGCCCAGCCTCTGGAACCAGTGGCGCTTGCCTGCTTGCTTAGAACTCCACAGTCCGACAAGCACAGCCAGGAGCAGGGAGGCCGATGCCGGCATCCCGGACCCACCGCACTGCTCCACTGCTGGTAGCAGTTTTTTAACGACCATAGTCACTCCTTCTGTCCAGGCTGCCCTGCTGGGGATGGGGAGCTATGAGTGAGCACAAGATGCCCTGTTACCCTGAAGAGAGAAGAACTGCTGTGCGAGTGACAGAAGAGCCAACAGAATCAAGGCCATGGAAATAGCTGCTTCAATTCCATGAGTTCAGGGAAGTCTGTGTGGGAGCATCTCACTCCCAAGCCACCTCCGACCTCCCTTCTCAAGGTTTCCAACCACAAATGTTCTGGAGGCCACTTATGTTGCTATTTCATTTCATATTCTCCCCCTTTGGGAATGTCTGCAAGCTGTCTTGATTAGGTTCCGTTGGGGAGGTGCCTGGTATTCTTCATAAACTCCACCCTTGCCTGTGCACTGTGCGCAGTTTGGGGTGAGGCGTGGGAAACTGTCCCCCATGCCTGTGCACTGTGGGCAGTTTGGGGTGAGGTATGGGAAGCTGACCCCCAATGCTGGGTATAGTCTTGATACATGTTAACACTCTCTCCTGCCTGTCTGTGAAGTTTGACACACATAGGCAGAGCATGACGGGTCCAGCCTGGGTCAGTTGCCTTCTACACCTTTATAAGAGCACATTTGCTTCTACACAGGCTCAGGTAGCTCAAAAACCCTGTTCCAGCACCAGCAGCCAAGTTGGTTGAAGGTCCAGGCACCAACTGCCCGAGTGGACATCTACAATACTGCACAGGTCTCTCCCTTACAGTCTGCCTCCATGACAGTGCCATCGATGCAAGTGGACTCCTCTGTGTCTATCAGGGGTCCAGCCCCATTATCCTGGTGTTGGACACATGTGAGGACATCTGCAAATGCTCTAGGAAGACTGAGCAGCATGTGGAAACCAACAGGTGCCAGGCTGGGGCACAGGGCAGGGAAGGGTTAGCTTGCTTACGAACTATTACTTTAAAGGTTCGGGCCTGGGCTGGACCCCCTCCCCTGTCAGGCCTAGATAGTGGGAAAGGAGCCAACTCACAGAGTGGAAAGAGGTTTTTAGACCACGAACATTTCACAAATGCCTGGGGCTGGCCTGCTGCCATTTTTTTTGCCTCAATTTAGGAAGTAGTTCTCACTTATTAAAACCACATTGAAAAAGGGAAATGTCCACTTAAGACCGAGCACTGCACCCTGACCATGAATAAAAACCACAGGAAGGAAGTGAAGTAGTGTTTTGAATGAGTTTCTCAGATTTGCCAGAACAGATGACCACAAACAAGCAAGCTTGAAAACCTCAGAAACCACTGCAGTCAATTAAGCGGACTGGGCCCCTTTGCTGGTGGGTGCCCAGGGTGTAGTGGCTGCAGACACCAACTTCCTTGGTAGTGTATGCAGCCTGTTGCTTGTATGGGCTGCCCCAAGAGACTTTCAAGACACTGCTTCTGATGCTCATAATCTAACCACCTGCTTCCCCCAATCCAGGCTCCAGACTGCCATGCAAGGTGCCTTTGGGAAGCCCCAGGGCACAGTGGCAAGGGTCATCATTGGACAGGTCATCATGTCTATCCGCACCAAGCTGCAGAACAAGGAGCATGTAATTGAGGCTCTGCACAGAGCCAAGTTCAAGTTTCCTGGGCTCCAGAAGATCCATATCTCCAAGAAGTGGGGCTTCACAAAGTTCAATGCAGATGAATTTGAAGACATGGTGGTCAAGAAGCACCTCATTCCTGATGGCTGTGGGGTAAAATACATCCCAAATCATGGTCCCCTGGACAAGTGGGGGGCCTTGCACTCCTGAAGGTTTCCACTGCCCTGCCCCCCCCAAAGTAAGTTCATAAATAAATCTTATCTCTGCCCGAAAGGAAGAAAGAAAGAAAGAAAGAAAGAAAGAAAGAAAGAAAGAAAGAAAGAAAGAAAGAAAGAAAGAAAACCTCAGAAACCAATTCTTTCACAAGGTGCCCCTCCAGAAACTCCACAAGAGATGCCATCCCACGTCTTCCATCTTCTGATGGCTGCTGATGTTTCCTGATGTTTCAGGGTTCCATCTCTCTGGTCCCTGCCTCTGTAGTCGTGTGATTATTCTAGCTCAAATATACCTCTCCTTTTTCTGGTAAAGACATTTTTCATTCAACATAGGGCTGCAGGGATGACCCAAAATGATCTCATCTCAGATCTCGCAGTTAAATCTGTTAAGGGCCTTTTTCCAAGAAAGGCTACACTCCCAGGTTTGGGGATAAGACAGGGACACATCTATTCAACTCATAACACTCCTCTGTCCTGGGGACCCACTTTCTAGATGCAGGAGGATAGATGGATGAAGCCACTGGGGTGTGTGATAAGCAGTGAAACTGGAGCCAGAGATGCATGAGAGGATGATGGATTTGTGCCAACATCCCGTCCCCATCAGAGGAAATGGGGAGGGGCTGCAGGCCCCTCCCTGAAGATCCCAACCCATGTGGGCAATTGCCTGGACTGATCAGCCCCCTGTATTCTGAGGGTGAAGCTGCAGGGAATGAGTAAAGACAAAGTCGATATTCAAAGGACAAGGGGACCAAGAAGAACTCACCTTTAACAAGCACGGCCATTTCCAAAGTTGATCTGTTTTTATTAGAAAGTGAGAAGCACAGGGGAAAGGGTGGTGTACTTTTGCAGAACAGCAATTGCAGTAAGTTGTGGAACAAAGGGATGGAGAGCAAGTTCTTTTCCATATCAATATGTCTGCATTCTTCAGAGCATCCTCAGCAGTGTTACCTTAGATTAGGAATGCTGTAGTTCAGAGCCTTCTTGCATAGCCAGGAAGCACGGGCCTTCCGCATACTTCTCTCTGTTCCTAAAGCAGAGATCACGGACCCCAGTCAAAGAGCCCAGTTCTCGGCATAGTAAAATATGATATTTATACCCTCTGGTCCCCAATAAGCAGTGGAGTCCAGGAGACAGTGGCAAGGTCACATGCAAGGTCATACCTGTGTGACTCACAGCAACTGAGATCAAGAAAGGAGCTCTATTCTGTATGGTGCTTCATTTTTCCTATATCTTGTTGCAAATGTGTTTCCTTTAAGGTTAATATCACGCTATAGTTAACAGGAGCACTGCAAATTAATTAAAATTTATGCTTCATAGGAAATATCAGCTTGATCATGCTCTTGGGGAACAGCTGATATTTCAGGGAAGACTGGGGTGGGTGCTGCCATCCGTGCTCTACATGCAGTTCCATACTGGCTATAGGCAGATGGAGAGGATTCAAGTCCATACCTGCCAAGGCTTGGCAAGGCCCTGTGTTACAGGCAGCTGAGTTAGTTAGAAATATTACAGGCAGTCAGACAGGGCTGGGGCCTCAAAGGAGCCAGTGCAGAAGTTCAGATACCTTGTGACCTCTGAGGAGACAGGTATCTCCTGCTGTGGGCCAGATCTCAAGACAAAAGGAAAAGCAAATACAACCACACCCTAAGGATTGATAGTCTAAATTGTGGAAGTCTGAGGAAGTCAAGAGTCACTGTCCTAACCCCCATAGGTAGAGTCACTGCTGTTAAGCATGCCTGCTTACTACTTGACTTGCTCCCCCATTTGCTCCTGATTTAATCAATTTTACCTTCATCTTATTGCTTGACCACAGGTCTATCTTGCCTTATGCTCACTTTGTGGTTTCCCATTTTTCCCCACCTTGGACCCATCTCACTTCATGATGTTACTCTATAAAAGTCCCTAGGAAAGACAGAGTCCCTGGCAACCCACTTGGGACCCCTTCTGTCCTTCAGACAGAAGCTTTCTTTCAATAAATATATTCTGCTCTTAACTTCCATTGTTCCTAAAATTCATTCTTCGATTTTAGAGAACACAAACTTGTACCAGACATATGGAGGCTGGGAGTTTCATTCTCCTGTATCACCTGGTCAGGCAGATGTGCATAGCTGGAACATCACTGTATTCCGGGAAGGAAGAGTCTGGCATCTTCTGTACCCATGTGCCAGGTAATTTACCCCAATTTTATTTAAAGACTTAGGAAGGTCCATTGTCATTGTGGAGCTCCTGACCAGGCTGCCTGTGGGCGGAGCCAGGGAACCTGCTTGACCCCTTGCTTCTGCTTCCCAGAACCAATCAGAGCATCTGGCACCCAGCAAGTGCCCCAAGCCCAATGCCCAAATGATAAAACGCACACTCCCCCAACATGCCTATGAGAACTTCAATGAGAGGGCAGAGCATTGGACGTCCTAATTAACCACCACTTGTCACAGGGCAATCACTTCATCTCCAAGGAAAGAAAAGACTTCTGAGAAGATATTTAAAACTGCCTTCTAATTTTCCCCGTAACGACTTTGGTAGAGACAGTTCCACCATAGAAGGGATTTAATCTACATGTTAATTTAAAAGCCTTGGGAAGAATCTCAAGGAAATAATCAATTCTGGGTGACAGTGAGGACTCAACCCAAGGCTCCAGACAGATTCTTCAGGCCACGCTGCTCCTGTGATGAGCATTTGCAGTGCTCACTTGTCAGGCTGCTTCCTGGCTCCTCGCTTCCTTTGAGCATGGCTGAGCACATCTTCACGAGGCCTGAGTTTCAGCACCTGCCCCTGTGTCTGTGGTGGGATACATCCCCCTTCATTGCTGTGACCACTCAGGAGACAGGCTCATTGTGCCTGAAAGGCCAGAAAGGCTGCGCATTCCCTGAATGGTCCAGCAGTTTTGGCATAATTGACGTGGTCACATATTTACTGTCTACTGGAATTTAATTTGGAACTGAATACTTGAGTTGTTTTCTTAGGAAAAGACAATATTTCCTCACTGAAGTTACTTCAGTTTTTCTACATCCTTTTGCCAATTTTGGAGTGGAAAGCACAGATTGAATTCCATAATGTAACTGTCTTTTATACTGAATGTCATTTAAAATGTTACGTACAGGCAGACATGAAAAGCTTTCTAAAAGGTTTTCTCAAAAGATGCTGAAATGCATTTACTTGAGACAATCAATTAAAAATTCATTAGCTTTCATTTGAAACACTTGTACATTAAAGATCCTGTTGATTGGGTGATAGATTCTCCATCCTCATCTAAATATGTTTTAAATATTAATATAGTGAAAACAATATTCTGTATACCCCAAAATGATGTCCATTTCCCTAAACATTTGCAGACTAAATGATTTTTAAAACAGTCTTTGTGGAGATGCCATGGTTGGCTGAATTAACATGTTCATTTCAGTACACATTGATTGGCAGCCACAGGCAACCCATGAGCATCTGACAGCTGTTTACGGTCTGTGAATCTATTTTACAAACATTATCATCTCATTCGAGCTAAAAAACACCCCTGGGAAGGTGGCTGGGCTGGCATTACCACCATTCCCCACCAAGGAAGAAAAGAGAGGCATAGCTCTGTCTGTGTTTTCCCTGGCAGCATCAGGTTTCTTTGGATTCACCTTTGCTGAATGGCGCTTTCTTGGTCATTCATTTCCGTTGTTCTGTGTGGTTTCTTCAGGCAGCTGAGCATATCTCAGTCTTTATTTTTGGTCCCATTAGGAGCTCCCCTGTGCTGCGTTTCTTTCTTATCCCACCCCATCAACTCTTCCCATTTCTACTGAACTATTGTTTTGCATCCTAGAGAGGCCTATGGAGAGGGGTCCCGAATGTTTCTCACGCAGTTTCTTTCCACAGGTTGCTTCCAGAGCCTTGCTTGCTGCTGAGGGCTCAGGCTGTCTGCAATGTTCTGTCTCCAGAGTGGCCACTTCTTCCAGGCTGGCACAGGCCCGAAAGGCCATTTAGCTGGGTGCTTTCATGGCCCGATGGCCTCTCCCGACTAGCAGATTTCCCTGCACAGTCCTGAGGATAATATGGATTTCTAAGGGGTTCCTCTTCTACCATGGCCTGTCCAGAACTCCAGAGCCCACATTTTGATTGAAGGGGTAGTGTCCAGGCCATTTGAATATTGTAGCTGGGTGTGAACTTGGCAGCTCAGTGGCCCTGGGATCTGGATCCTAACCTGTCACATTAGACATGAGTATGTTATGATTGCTGGTCACTGCTGGCAGCCTGCTGGGCCTAACAAGGACCATTTTGCCTATGTCTTATAGTTCTCACTGAGATTCAGATGGAAGGGTAGATGTGGATTTGTACAACATGTACCTGTTCTTATCTGCAAGACACAAGGAGTGAATATCTTCACTCAGTATTTCCTCCAAAATGTCCCACCAACCATAGCAGTCAAGGACCTAAATGTGGGATTATTTGGCATTTGTTGGATTCGGGACACTGAGGCCACAGAACAGAAGCACTGGGCTTGTAGGGGAATGTCTTGTGGGTGAAGGATATGAGATTTTTGAATGCCATCATTGCTGGAAGTAGTCTTCCCCAACTGTGTGCTTGGATGAAAGACAAGGCTCCTAGATGCTGCCACTAATAAATCAGCAGAAGTGGTGTGTGTGTGTGTGTACACATGTGCACAGGCATGTGCTTTCCTTCAAGCCTTGGCTGCAACATTGCTTCACATGAGCTGGGCAGAGCTCTGTGGGCACTGGCCATTGCCTCCCCAACTTGCTGGATGCCAACCTACTTCCCGCAGGGTGTCCTTGATGCTCCTGCACTGCTGTGGTTTGGAGCAGGCCCTGGGTTCTGGCTGCAGCCTTCAGCCACAGCACAGAGGTAAGGTCAGCGCAGGAACTGAACAGAGCCATGACTGGGTGCCTGGGGCCTGCCAGTGTCCCAGAAGGTATAGAAAGTGGTTGCTCACCTGGGGGAGGATGGGGCAGTACAACTCTTAGTTGGCTGTGCAACCAAGGAGCAGTGACCAAGGCAGTCTGATCTGCACAGCCCACTAGTGTT